TCTCCCTGTAACCCCAGCTGTCCTGGAACTCACTATGTGGACCAGGCTGGCCTGAACTCACAGAGATCCGCCTGCCTCTGCCTCCCAAGTGCTGGGATTAAAGGCGTGCACCACCACACCTGGCTTCTCTTTTTTTTTAAATTTTATTTTATGTGTATGAGTGTTATACCCGGATGTGCAAGTGCAGGAGTGTATTACAGTGCCTGCGGCGGACAGAAGCGGGCATCAGATCCCCTGGAACTGGAGTTATGAACAGCTGTTAGCCACCATGTAGATGCTGGGAATTGAACCCTGGTCCTCTTCAAGAGCAGTCAGTGCTCCTCATCTCTTCAGCCCCAGAAGCTATCCTTTTTACTTTGGGAGTCTTAATTGACTAACTGAATGATTCTTTTTGTTTGTTTTTGTTTTGTTTTTTGGAGACAGGGTCTCCCTGTAGCTCTAGCTGTCCTGGAACTCACGATGTAGACCAGGCTGGCCTCAATCTCACAGAAATCTACCAGCCTCTGTGTTCACATTAAAGGCATGTACTACCACACCTGGCTAATTGAATGATTCTTATCTCCAAAATACCAATGCTGCATTTTACTCTTGTTAATTATGAAACAGTTCATTCTCATTATACTAACAAGTGAGAACAGATCTGATTTCTAGCCAGGCAATCTTTCCAATTGTTCTTTGGTTTTGAGAGTATAGTCTTTGATGGCAATTCAACAATCTTTCTTTATTAGCTATGGGAGGATCATCTTTTTCTTTCTTTCCTTCCTTCCTTCCTTCCTTCCTTCCTTCCTTCCTTCCTTCCTTCCTTCCTTCCTTCCTTCCTCTTTTGATCTTTTTGAGACAGGGTCTCCCTGTAGCACCAGCTGACCTGGAACTCACTATGTAGTCCAGGCTGGCCTCGAACTAACAGAGATTCACCTGCCTCAGCCTCCCGAGGGCTGGGATTAAAGGCATGTGCTGCCACGTCTGGCAAGATCATCATTTTTCTGTTCCTCTCCTTACTACCTTCAAATGTAGAGCACAAAATGTGAAAACATGTCTTTGGACCACAGCTGAAGGTTTAAGCCAACGTTGACTTGCACACCTAGCCCAAGGTATACTCCCCCAGCAGACAATAATACTTTTTTTTTTTTAAATCATTCCAGGTATTGTGGTAAATACAAACCCCCATCTTCAATACTCACAACTGCCATTAGAACAATACACTTTTTTTTTTTTTTTTTTTTTTAGACAGGATCTTCCTGTAGGCCCAGCTAGCCTGGTACTTGCTATGTAGACCAGGCTGGCCTTGAACTCACAGAGATTCACCTGCCTCTGCTTCCTGAGTGCTGGGATTAAAGACGCATGCCACCATGCCTGGCTAGAACAACATACTTTTAATTCTTATTATTTAGGTGAGAGATCTGGGACCTGAATAGAAAACTGTGGGAAACCAACTGTGGGTCACACTGCTACTGAGCAGCAGAGACTAGTGTAGAGCCCAGGGGAAGGTTTTAAAGCTACAGTTACAGTAACAGCATGACAACACAAACTAGCAAAGCTAATCCC